AGTCTAGATAAAAGATAATGTCAAGTTGTAGATCAGGATGTATGCAAAGAAGTGTTGTGAAAAAAAATACACTGATTACACATATGATGGATTTCCCTTATTTCTGAAAACAGGAATTGTTTTAGTAGAAAACCCCTTTCTGGTTGCTTTTTTTTTTTCCTGAGTAAGATCCTATTTGGTAGCTGCTAACTTAAAGTCAATGAAGAACCACAGTGTAAGTGTTTGAATTAGCATCAGGTTTTATATATTTCTCTAAGTGCACCCTCTTCAACAGTCTCACAGCTGCCCATGTCATGCTCACTCTAGCCGCAGGGAATTGGCATCTGCTGTTCCCTTTGTCCAACACAATATGCCTACTCACCCCAGTCTTTGATCACAGAACTCTCTTCTCTTCTAACTCTTCCCCAAGAAGCTAGGTATTACCTTCCCTTGCAGGCTATGTTTTTTATTTATGCTCTCTACAGCACACACCAATATCTAAACTGCCTACTTCGCATATACATGTGTTTTCCTGCTTATTTTCTATTTGACAGAATAGAGGGCTTATCAACACTCATTGGGAGACAGACTCCTACACCCAGTGTGCCCAAATTGTTTCTTTGGACCCTGTAGTGCTATTGGGAGGACAGAAACAGTTAGGTCAGATCCTCCTGCAGGATATATCTAAGGCCTAGAACTTCACCTGAATGTAGCATATATTCTGTACTTTGTACTGACCTAAGTTTTCATTCCAGGAAGTTCCAGGTGGTAGTTGTATGCAGGAAGAGGTTTTGTGATCCTCTTGGTCAAGGACTGGCAGCTGAAAAAATAGCTTGCCTTGGTTCTGTGGGCACTGTTTTAGAAGAACTAAGAATGACAGGAAAACCATCCCAGACTTCCAGGCCCAGTTGTATAGGCTTTAGCTCCCCAGCTAAAGTGTGTGGGTTGAATTGAACAGATATGGGAAATTTAGAATTACCAAACTCCTTGAATCTTTTATGCAATGGGACTCTGTAAACTTTTGTATGTAAGGATTCTGATTTGAAAACCCGATTACTGTCCCATTCTCTACATTCTATGTCAGAAAATGGAATTCCCAAGAGATGAAGAGTAGGGACTTCTTATTTCTCAGCTGCCCCAGTTTGTGGGAATCTTTACATTGTCACACTCTCAGAAAAGATGCAACTGCAATTTCTTTAAACATATCATCTGTCCTGGTATTTTCTTATATTAAAAATTATATTATATTATTATATAAGCAAGGAGGTACATACTTAATAATCTCAATTCAGGAAATGAGCATATGTCATTGTCACAATGCTGTGAAAGACTCCCTATAGTTCGTATCTTTAGTATGTCTGAGCTGAATCCGCACACTGTGGCCACAGATTGACCATGTCAGAGAGATCTACCCTAGTACTTGAGGCTTTAATAAAGGTTTAGGCAGGCAGATAGCTAGAATCATATTCCTTAAGAGCCCTGGGCTTTGGAATTTATTTTAAGGAGAACTTATACTGAGGACAGAAAATTTCCAGGTCCAATTGACATCTGTGTGTGTGTTGGGGGGGGGGGAATGACATGACTCCGAGGGTTAAATAGATGGTTCACAGTACTGACACACACGGGTTGACTTTGGCATTTTATTGCATAATCAAACCTCAGTTATTTCTTCTGGGACTTAAGATATACTTTAATATATAGTTTATTTAAACATGTACAGATAAAGTTATATAAACGTGTAATATGTCAATATTTTATCAATAAATATAATTTATTAAGAACCTGGGCAGGAACATATTGTTGGAAACTTTGTCAAAAAGAATGTAACATAAAACCAAGGATGCTTCCAATGGAAACAAAGTTATAATTAGGGCTCTTAACACCTTAAAAATATTAGCTTCAAATACACCACAGATATAACCAACAAGCTCATGAAACTAAAGCTAACACCACCACCTCTGAAATTGTAAGACTCATGTTCTGTACAGCAAGCATACATGTACTTACTGTATTCATTACACTAGGGACCTCAGTGCATTAGAAAATGTGCAAGTGACCCCATTTGTAACTATACTTGGAAAAATGTAAACAAAATTAAGATAGTAGATACAATGGAATTTTGCTGTAATCAGCTGCTTACATAGACTATCATTAGGTAAGGAAAAGTCAAAGTTTATCCTGGTTCAGTAACTTAGTGCCCTTTATGTAACATTCTTGTCAGCTGGTCATTCATGAATTGGGCATATATATAGTTTATAGGGTGGGAATTAATTTTATTGACAGGGAATTATTATCTATCTATCTATCTATCTATCTATCTATCTATCTATCTATATGATGAACTTAAGTTCATGAGTGTAAGAATTCAGGAATTACGCTGGACTACCCCTATCACCCGGCATAATGCACTCAGCCCAGGGTTCCATGACTGCTTAGTCTGCAAACAGATGAAAGACCCCACACATTTATGCTCTCTTCTTTCCTCTCTCTCTTTCTCTCTCTCTTTCCTGTTGTTCCCCTGAGGCAAACAGGGCATTTCATGTCTCCCTCTTCTCTCCTCCCTCTGTCTCTGTGTCTCTTTACCTCTCCCCTCTCCCTTTCTAATAGAACTTCTCACTTAAGCTCTCTCTGCCTGGCATGGCTGTTCCTTGCTTAGGTCATCCTAGCCTGCCATGGAATCTGCCACGTTTCCCCACAATTTATCCTAACAACAAGACTATAAAGTTACATATACAATTAGAGTCACTCTTATCAAAATTTTCCCATAGCCTTCTTTATTCGCCTCTTCGAGAAAAAAGGCATCCCTTTAAATGGAGTGTGATATATAAATATTTGTTCTGGGCAACATGGAGTGACTGAATGAGCAGGGGTAGATTAGTGAAGAAAGGCTCAGCTCCTGAGAGCCCAAGCACATCTCCAGCAATTCAAAATGCCCACAATAATAACATGCAAGCAGGCTGTCATCTTAAGTATTATAGAATGTTTCCATCAGTATCATTTGTCTCCAAATCAACTGTTACAAAGTAAGCAGAAGATATTCTGAGGCCCAAATCATCCAGCCTTCAGTTCCATCCACTCAGAATGTCAGCCATTGACTTGCTGCTCATGCCACTTTCTCACCATCATGTTCATGGAAGGGGTGGGTATACAGCCTGCCATGGTAAGTCGGTTGCATCCCATCCTTTGTATTAGAAACAAATAAACTTCAAAATGATGCTTGCCTCTAAATAAATGCCGAGCCTAGTGATGTTGGGGGAGCAAGAACTTACAAATTCAAAGCAGATTGATCCATTGTGCAAGTTAAAGCTTCAACTCTCTTCCTGGTTGACAAGAAGAAGTCTTTAGTGAGATTTGCCCCAGTCTTGACGGGAACCACCTCAGCATGTAATATTTCTTAGCACAGAGCTTGCTTTATTTTTTTTTCCTCAGCAGCATTTAGGAGCTCTCTCTCTCCCTCTCTCTCTCTCAGGGTCTACTTCTTCCTGCTAAGGCATGACTTGTGCTCAAGAAAACTTAAGTCTTCACATAGCAGAGAATTCTTTTTGGCATTTGAATGGTTTTTTGGTATTCTTCTCTTCCTCATCCAAAGTATCTTTCTTGCCAATTTCAATCCCAGAACTATAGTCAACACTGACAGGAAGAGTTAATGACACTACACGAGCAGCTCAATAAGACTGTAATAATTGGCACTGAGATAGAGTCAAACCACAGCCACGATGAAAGCTAAAATATCACCTGGTTCTGGGAATTGGTACTTTCCTCACTAAGACCTCTGCTCTGGGGTAATTGGGACAAACCATGGACTCTGCTTTGAGTGAAAGACACCAGGTTAACTATAAGGACATAGCTAACCAAGACAGAAGTCTAGAAGGCCCAAATTAGGAGGGTGGTTCCTTTGAAACAAAGCCAAAATGTAGGCAGGCATGAGTTTTTGAGGTAGCATACGGCTGGCTATAGCAGCATCCTGTTGTCCTGAAAATAGAAAGAAATCTTAAAGATGCCCCTACTCCAAGCTTCATTTGGCAATGTAGAAAGTGAATTTCATGGATGGAAAGACAATTGTTCACAGTCCCACAGCATTTCAGAAGCAGAACCAGGACTGGCACCTGTGTCTTCTGACTTAGAGTCAGATATTGTTTTTCTCATTCTTAGCATATCTGGACTCTGAGCATCTCCATCTAAAAGATAACAAGAGCAAGAGTAACAAGACTCCACAGTGTGAAATTCTATCAGTTCTGCCCACTGTAAGCATCGAGGCCATATTCAGAGGTTTTGAGTTGGTACTGTGGGTTTCACCACAAGTTCATAGAAAAGATGCCAGCATCCCTTAATAGACACCCATAATGCCACCAGCCCTACCTAAGACTCTTTAGGTGTTCTATCCTAGGTTACAAGAAAGTGAGTATCTCAGGTGAGATAGATCTGGTCCTGGATCTGGGGAAAACCATCTTTGATTTCCCTCCTGGGTTCACACAGAGACCATTTTCCACTGATCTCTATTCTGTATCTCTGGTGACAAATGAATGGAGCCTGTCCTAAACGGAACATTGACACTGAACACAGAAAGAAAGAAAACAGAGATCAGTGACTGACATAGGGCTGACCAAGAGGAAGCATGCCTACACCTGGATGCAAAAAGAACATGTACAAGTGCCCAGCCCAAAAGAGGGCAAAGAAAGGATAGTGGGGAGTTCAAACACAGCTATGGTAGATTTGACCAAGCAAGAAATGTGACCAAGACAGGCACATGTTTTGACAGTATCTATGAGAAGACACTTAAAAAAAAAAAAAAAAAAAAAAAAAAAAAAGGCTTATTTGGAAACTGAAAACAGGACACAGCGAATTCTTGTGAGACAGACTGGAAACAGTAAGGGGACTACTAGGCCATGGGCTTCAGAGACCGTCAAACAAGAGTGGAGACTCCAGGAAGAGGAAACATTGAAAAAATGAAAAAACGAACAAGGAAGCCCTTCTCTCCTCTGACTTGCTCAAACACCACCTGCTGGAATCTTGGTGGCGTGTTGCTGCATGCTGTTGGAAAGCCTTGGAGAACAGAGTGCCAGGAGCAGCCACATACACACATGTAGCAGCTTAGGACTGGCCTCTTTTCGAGCCACAGCTGTCTTCTAGGTCATTGTCCCAGGGGCCTAAGTATCACTGGGCCGAGCAGCCACCAAAGAAGTTGCTGTGAGGTGGCACCGACTCTCCCATTGGCCACCACATTCCACTGCATCCCTGGAGGAGGAGAAGATTAGAAAGGCTCAAACACTGGAATGGAGTCAAGGATTGTGAATAAGCATACCCAGGTCAGGCACCCTTAACGGGCCATGCAGATGGGTTGTAACTTAGCCTCTAAGCTATGAGTCCGCCATAATAAACTAGCCAGCAGTTATTCCTGAACAGCTTTAACTATTTAGAAGTAGTTCATTAATGTTCAGCCCAATTTTTAGTCTCTCCAAATTTCTTCCCAGCAGGCCAACTATACATTCCAGGCCCATCCAAAATCTCTAATCTCTCCTGATGGGATGTTCCAAGTGTTTTCTTCCCCAGGGCAAAAGATCATAGTGTGTTACATCTTCCAGGTAGTATTACATAATGAGTACTGACCTATGAAAAAAATATACATTTTGATGATTTCTCTCAAAGTAAAGTACTTGAAAGGAGCCCAGATCTTAATACAAAGCAAACATGACACATGGTGCTCTTTATTTATGTGGGGACACTCAGAGTGATCCCATTACTAGCAATGCTAATGTGGTACTGACTAATAATGAGTTTGTTATCAGCACACATACTCAAATGTTTCCCGTTCTTATCCCTTTAATTTCTTTCTCTTCTCTTATTTCTCTAGCTAGTGCTTCAAGTGCTGTATTGAAAAGGAGTGAGGGCAATGGAAACCCTCTCTTGTTCCTGACTTTAATGGAAATGCCTTGAGCTTTTGCCTGTTAGGATCATGTCTGCTATATGTTTGTCATATACAGATTTTCTTAGGTTGAGGTATATTTCCTCCAATACAACCCTCTCTAGAACTTTCATCATGAAGACATGTTAGATTTTTGTTCAAGTTCTTTTCTGCATCTATTGAGATGATTGAGTGATTTTTGTCTTTAAGTCCATGTATAGGATTACATTTATTGAATTATGTACGTTGAACAATAACTACATGTCCAGGATGAATCCAACTTGATTGTGGTGGATAATCTTTTTGACATATGTCTGTGCTTGGTTTGCAGATATTGTTATTAAGAGTTTTATTTTGCATGTTCATTAGGAATATTGATTTAGTGTTATAGATTTTAGTGTTAGAGGAGTAATGGAAAGCATTTGGAAGTATTTTCTTTGTTTCTATGTTTTTAATTTGAGAAATATTAGTTGTAGTTCTTTATTGAAAGTCTGGCAGAATTCTGCTGTGGATCCATCAGGATCTGGGATTTTTAAAGTGAGAGCTTGCATTACTGTTTTTTTGTTTGTTTGTTTGTTTTAAATCTCCTTATTTGTTATGATTCTATTTAAGTTGTTGCTCTCTTCTTGATTTAACTTTTGTGGTGGATAAATATAGACATTTATCCATTTCTTTTAACTTTTCTAATTTAATAGAGTACAGGGTTTTTAAAGTACTATCTTATAATGCTCTGAACTACTTTGGCATCTATTGCAATGTTTATCTCTAATTTGTGTTAATTTGGGTCATCTCTTCCTTCTTTTGGTTAATTGTCAATTTTGTTTATCTTTTCAGAGAACCAGCTCTTCTATTTGCTAATTCCTTGTATCGATCTGTTTGTTTCTATTATATTAATTTGTCCTCTGTTTACATTTTTCTTCCCATTTATAGGATTTGGGTTTGGATTCTTCTTATTTTTCCAAACTCTTGAATTGCATCAGTTCTCTTCCTGATTTTATAATGAAGCATTTGGAGCGATATATTGCCCTTTGATGACTGTGTTCATGTGTCCCCAATGTTTTGCTGTGCTTTGATTTCACTTTCATTTATTTCCAAGAATTTTTTACTTTCTATCTTATTTTTTTCTTCACCCCATTCACCATTCAGTGGTATGTTGCTTAATCTCCACAAGTTCATGCAATATCTAGAGATTCTTTTTCTTTGAATTTCAACCTTTATTTCATTGTGGTCATATAGGCTACATACTGTTACTTCAATTTTTCTACATTTGTTGAGATTTGTTTTGTGTACCAATTAATTCTTACATTTCTCTGTTAATTTTTGTTCAGATTATCTGGAAAGAGTGTGGTAAAATCACCCACCAATGCTGTGTTGGGGCTAATTTTCACCTTGACAGTAGAATGCTTTTTATGAAAATAAGTGTGTCAGTTTGTTGTGCGTGTGTGCAAGATTTTAATCTCTTTGGTTAGCATCATTTGTCTCTTCTGATTAATTTTATCTTATTACATTATAAATCATTATTATTTATTTGAGTCAAAACAGAACTTTTGTCTCCATTAATCTTTATCTTATGGGCTTGGGAACACTTGAGTTCATGCTGTACAGATTTCAACACTTGAAATGATTTTTAAATGGCTTTACCTACTAAGCCATGTTTCAAATGTTTTCTAAGAACATAGATAACCTGTAGTGGTCACTACCTAGCTTCAGTTTAATGTTATCTGCCCTTTTGCTTTTCAGTCAAGGAAAAATACTCAGCAGGGCAGAACAAAGTATAACAGTATTCCATGCTATAAACACATAAGTCTTAACTTTCTTAAGCATGGGCTCATCCTAGTAGACCTCACCTGGTGGTCTGTTAAATATCTCACCAAACAATCATTCTGTCCTATTAGATGATGATCTCTTCTTACATGATTTTATTTTATCCATTTGTATAATGAATGCCATAGACTTCTAATAAAGCCTATTTTAAGACACACACTTGCCATTTCTGGGGTCTGGCTTTAGTTTTTCTTGAAGGATTGGAGTGCTGCTTACTGATGTCTAAGCTTCCATACTTAACCTGAGCAGCTGAAGAGCCATTTGGAGCCAATCTTCAGGCCCATGAGATCTTGTATACTTCACTCAGAGACTGAAAGCTTTATAGTAATTGTAGACAGCAACTTGCCCCATAACATTCTCTTCTTCTCTGTTAGAGTCCATTCTTACTATAGCAGAATAGGCAATATTTCTTCCCTAAATAGTCAGATAAAAGTATTTCTGAGATTTCTACTTCCTCTGAACATGCTTTGGATTCAGAGTCATTCCTGGTTATAGGTTCCTTTCTTCTATAATTTTCAAATGTCATTAACTCTTTAGATAATCAACATGTACCCTCACATCATTACATACTACCCTATATCTTCATTTACCTCATATGTTGATGTACCTCTGAAGAGTTTCTTTTAAAGGTTTGAATAGAAGGGAGAGTGGTAAAAAGGAAGGACTGTTCATATGCCATTGCCTAAGCTTTCATAATGGCTGAGCCTCCAACTGCATGGAAGATGCAACTGTCTCATTTCCTCTCAGCAATAGCAAAGGCAGTAGGGGACTGTAGAATAATGAAAGAGTGATATGATGATGTCATTTTCCTGGAATAGCCTCAGCTTATGTTATCATCCCAGCACAACCAACCATTAATACTCTAGTGTGCTTTTTCTGAAGGTTTTGATTCAAAATAAAAATTTATAAAAGATTATACAACTCTAGAAGAGGCTGGCCCTTGGTGCAAAAAAACAATACTGAATGTGCATGGCTTTATCATCCCAGAAACCCCTTTGCTACCAGCTGAAGATCACTGTTCTACCCTAGCAGGAGCACCACCAAAGTGCTGTAACAAGAACAATAAGCAGAAGACAGGGAGTTCTAACATGGTATTAGTCTGCAGGAGTATGTACCCAGCTACACAGTCTTATTCCTGTGCCTCATCCCCCACCCCCCTTGTTAAGTGAGTGGGAGAAGAATAATCCATAAGATCCTTTGTCGTTCTGACATTCTGATTCTGTGAGTAGCAGGGATGGTGGGTGACACACACAGGCCTTTTGATTGGTTGGCAGTTGTGTGTGGGACTGTTCTGCAAATCTGTGGGTAATTGCTTCAAATTTGGCTTTTAATATCCTATTGTCAGTATCTGATACTTTGTCTTCCACGTAGAAGGAAAGAGGTTTTGCTGGAAACACAGGGAGGGTGATTTTTGCATTTGTCAAAGAATGGAAAGTCCTCAATTTCTGAGCTGTGAAATGCACTCCAATGCTGCTAATTGTAGCTAAGTAGAACAGCGTGGGGTAGAGTTCAAAATGCAATGAGGCTATCCCTGACTCCAAACACAGAACTGAAAAATAGAACAACCAATGAACCAACTAACCAAACAAACAAAACAAAACAAAGGGCAAAAGAAAACCACTACTAGTATTATGCACTAGCACACAAAACATCATTTTTAAAAAAAATGCTTTTTCTTCAATAATCTAGCAGGTAAGTTTGAAAATGTAAGTTTTTGCTTTATAAATTTTGTGAAATAACTTTAAAATTGATGGCACATTTCTCCACATTTAATCTTCAGCACAAATCTATAAGGAAGGAATATAGATAATACTGTTTTCTCTTCATAGGAAGAAGGAAATATTCTGTAGATATGGATTCATTGATTGATTGTTGATTGACTGATTGATTGATTGGTTGATGGGGTGGTGGCTTGAATGAGACTTTCCCTGTAGGCTCATAAGTTTGAACTCTTGCTCTCCAGTTGGTGACTTTGTGGAGGATTAGAAGGTGTATGTCACTGGGGACATGCTTTGAGATTTCAAAAGATGCATGCCATTTCAAGTTAGTTCCCTATACTTCCTTTCTGTGCACCAGGAAGTGAGCCTCAGCTGCTGCCTGCCTGCCTTTCATGTTTCCTGCCATGATGGTGAGGGAGCCTTATTCCAATAAAGGAGAAAGCTCCCAACCCCCCAAAGAAACCTTTCCTTGTATAAGCTACCTTGATTGTAGTGTTTTACCACAGCAATAGAAAAGTAGCTACTACAAGAATTGGAGCAAGGCAGTGGGTTATTGCTGTGACAGATCTGACTATGAGGATTTTAGAATGTCATAGAACTCTTTGGAACTTTGGACTAGAAAAGTGGTTGAATGCCATGAGCAGAGTTTAATGGGACATCCAATTAGGAACCTAGAATGTGGTCTAAGAGCTATATTGACTGTGGACATCCGTCTCAAGAGGCTGAGCTTCCACAAGAGAAGAGAAGCAAAGAGAAGAGAGATCATAGGAAAGAGCAATTAATTACTGCTC